GTCCCATGTACAGCCTAGTGATTTGACAAGTGAGTATAGTCACCATTTGTCACCATACAGCATTATTAACTATGTTATTGACTATATTCCCTGTGCTGTACTTTTTGTCTTCATGACTTATGCTGTAACTGAAGTTTGTACCTCTTAATCCTCTTAATCCTTTTGTTGACCCTTCCACTGCCTCCCTTCCCAGAGGCACATCTTCTGTGAAGTCGTCTCTAATCCCCTGGCCATAAGAAATGGTCCTCCGGGGGCTCTTGGGTGGCTCAGTGGGTTAAAGCCTCTGCCTTCAGCTCAGGTCATGATCTCAGGGTCATGGGATTGAGCCCCGCATCAGGCTCTCTGCTCAGCCGGGAGCCTGCTTCCCCCTCTCTCTCTGCCTGCCTCTCTGCCTACTTGTGATCTCTCTCTCTCTCTCTCTGTCAAATAAATAAATAAAATCTTTAAAAAAAAAAGATGGTCCTCAGAACTCCCATAGCGTGGTGACACTTGAATACTTATGCTGCATTCTACCATGGTGATGATGGTGACGATTTCTTTGTTTCACAGTATGGATAACATCTATTAATTATTGACTACCCAGGTATCTTGGGCACATTATGAAACTTCTCCATGCCTCTGTCTTTCCTCTGTAAGATGGTGGAAGTAATGGCACCTGGCCCAAAGGGTTGTGAGGATTCGTTACAATCATACCTGACATGAAGTACTTGATCAGTGAATGTTAGTGCTTGTCATTACTGTGAGTCGAGGGGCTTACTTTATATTGCCCCCACTAACCCTCAGACCCCATGAACTGGGTTACTATGATTATACTCTCTTGTTTTGTGTTTTAAAAGAGTTTAGTTTTTTTTTTTTTAAAGATCTTTATTTATTTATTTGACAGACAGAGATCACAAGTAGGCAGAGAGGCAGGCAGAGAGAGAGGAGGAAGCAGGCTCCCCGCCGAGCAGAGAGCCCGATGTGGGGCTCGATCCCAGGATCCTGGGATCATGACCTGAGCCGAAGGCAGAGGCTTTAACCCACTGAGCCACCCAGGTGCCCCTAAAAGAGTTTAGTTTTAAGTAATCTCTACACCCAACTTGGGGCTCGAACTCTCAACCTCGAGATCAAGAGTCAGATGCTTTACTGACTGAGCCAACCAGGTGCACCCTTCAAAAAAAAAAAAAAAAAAAAAAAAAGATTTACTTAGAGAGAGCCTGTGTGCACACATGCAGAGGGGGAGGGGCAGAAAGAGACCATCTGAAGCGGACTCCATGCCTAGCTTGGAGCCCCACGCAGGGCTTAATCCCACGACCCTGAGCTCATGACCTGAGCTGAAATCAATAGTCAACACTTAACTGAAGAAGCCACCCAGGAGCTCCCCAGGTGCCCCTTTTTAAAATTGTGACAACACATAGATAACATAAAATTTATTATTTTAACCTTTTGGGGGGGCTTTTTTTTAATGGAATGTGTCACAGATTTGCTTGTCATCCTTGCACAGGGGGGCTTGCTAATCTTCTCTGTATTGATCCACTTTTGGTGTATGTGCTGCCAAAATGAGCACCAATCTTAACCATTTTTCAGTACACACATAGTTCAGTAGTGTTAAGTACATTCCCATCATTATGCAGCCCATCTCCAGAACATTTTCATCTTGCAAAATTGCACCGCTCTACCTATTAAGCAAATTCCCATTCCCTCCTCCCTGAGCCCTAGGCAAGCCCTAGGCAACTATTCTGCTTTCCATCTCTATGAATTGTATTATTATACTTTTTAAAAAAGATTTTATTTATTTGAAAGAGAGAGAGAGCACGTGCAAGGGGAGGGGCAGAGGGGGAGGGAGAAGCAGACTCCCCAGTGAGTGGGGACCCTGATGTGGGTGGGACCAGATCCCAGGACCCTGAGATCATAACCTGAACCAAAGTCAGACACTTAACCGACTGAGCCACCCAGGTGCCCCGTATTATCATACTCTTCACAAACTGAGGATACCAAAGTTCAAAGAGTAATTTGCTTCCAGGAGACAGAATCTGGACTGAACCCAGGCCGCTGTTCATGCTCTTAAGCCACTATGAAATAGGGCTTCACCTCAAGAGCATCTGCGGTGTGTTTTACGTCCCTCATAACAATGATGGTGCCTGTGTGCCCAGGCCCTCCTCTGTGCCACTGTGCTGCCGCCATTCTCGCATTTAATCGTCACAGCAGCCCCACGGTCATTGTGAGGGGCTGCGTCCTGTCTCCCCGCAGTGTCTGATACCGAAGAGAGACACAGGAAGCGTGTTCGGTGGGGGGGGGGCCTATCTGATGCTTTTAAGTAGACTAACTCATACTAGATAAGTTTGTTGTACGTTTTTAATGCAATTGTTTACATTTTTGGGAAAAATATTGATCGTCTCAGGAGAAAACCAGCTGAAACTCTGGAGCTCGTAAGGAACTTCCCAGTCTTCTCCACTCCCCCTCCTCCTGCAAGTCCATCTGCTCTCCTCACCCCAGGTCAGCCCCAGTCTGCCACCGCCCCCACCCCCGACCCCCATCTGCACCTCATCACCAGCTCTGTTGATCCACAGGCCAAAGGCTGAGGCAGGCAGGCAAGGGGACATAAGAGACTGTCCTTGCTCGGCTTCCTCCCCCGGCCACTCCACCCACACTCTTCCTCTAGCCCAGCACAGTCCCGGCCATCCTGGAACAAGTTGTGTCCTTTCACGCCTCCCTGACTTCGCACATGTTGTTCTGAAGACTGGAATGCCTTCCCTCGTTCTCCACCTCCGAGACTCCTACAGTCTCTGCGAGCCAGCTCAGATGTCACCTCCTCTGAGAAGCCTCCTCTCCTGCCCTGTGCTGTCTGTCCGCCCCCTCCTCTGCACAGACTTGCTCATCGTATACTAAGGCACTTGGACCACAACGAGCGACCCGGAGTGAGTGTGTCCCCTGTGTCCCCAACTCCTTGTGCTCTGCTCGGAGCAGGGGTCAAGAGGAACCCGGGGCGCTTGGATTTTTCTTGATGCTCCTAGGACATTTGAAAATAAGATGGCAAAACACGTTCACAAATAAATACTGAGGCCTATTTTTCCACGTTTAATACATTAATGGCTTCTAATACAAAAAAATCACACCATAATTGTGCTGCTCACAAGATGATTAAAGGATTTATTAAAATAACGTAGGGTGCTCCGCAGGCATAGTAGTCTTTGTTAGTAAGAAACAAGCTTAAGGGCACAGAAAGAGGGTCTTTGATCAAATAGGTCAGTGGATCTGACATAACGTTAACCCCATTCGGAGATAATATCAAAAGCCTAACTTGGAGCCCCTGGCCCAGTGGTTCTTCTGGCCCCTTTCTGTGATGAGGGGCTCCGCTGCCCCCTCTGTACCCAGTAGGTGCTCAGTGTTTGCCGAATGATGGGAACACGTGCAGCTTTCCAAGTTAATTATTGAAAATTCTCATACAATAAGTATTCCTGAGAAACAATGAAGTCCTGAACAATGGGGCAGGAAGCCACCTCCTTCTCCAGTGACCCCCCAACCCTCAGAGTCCCGCTGAAGGCTGCAGCAGGAAGCCCCTCACCCACCGTCTCTCCTCCCCTTCTTCCCCAAGGGCACCAAAGGCAGTTGGGCTTTCCCTTTGCTCTCAGCCTCTCTTCTCCTCCACCCTCTAAGGGTCCCAGGTGAAGAGAGAGAGAAGCACTTAACTCACAGAAGGAGGCCAGCAGCCAAGCTGGGCTCCGAGGGAGAGTCGTCCTGCCCCTAGGCAGGCCTGAGGAATAAAAGAAACAGTGAGAGGACAAAGAAGGACTTAGAGCACTGGAGCAAGGGGGAGAAAGGCCTAAGGAAGTTTACAAAGCAATCTGTCAGAGAAAGGATGAAAAGGGAGCCCTGCTGGGCTGAGACGCTCAGGGGCTCAACTCACCTTAGGCCCAATTAGAAATGTGCAATTACTGCACCGAAGTCTGAACTGAGCTCCCCCCACCTCCTGTCCTTGTCGAGAAGTTTCCCTGAGCGCGAGGCCTCCACTTTCTGAGTTCTGGCAGCCTCAAATACCTCTGCTCTACTGGGCTCAATCTACCAATTTGCTTGAATCCACCAAACTGGCCCAACTTCCAATCCCTTCTGGATTTCCAGCAGAAACACCACGTGAGGGGAAGGCCACCAGCAGATTCTCACAGCTCCTGGGCCACTCTGACTTCCCAGATTTTCTGAGCCAGTGAAAATATCCACAGGCCTTTCTGGAAGTCTCCCCGCTACCCCAGCCACCAAAGGCAGGATAGATAATAGTAACAGCTATCATGTGAGCGTTCCTTCTGCGTAGTGCTTTATGTCACCTCACTCAGTGCTCACCACCAACTGAGGGACAATTGCTCTGTCTTACAGAAAGGGAAATGGGCCTGCGGAGATTGAATGACTTTCTAAAGGACAGACAGCCAGGATTCCAACTCAGGTCTGTCTGACCTCGATACCCCATGCTTTTCCCACTGCGGACACCGTCTCTTTCTCGGGGACCTTCCAAAATTCCTTTTTCTCTTTCTTTCTTCTTATTTATTTTTTTGTGTGTGTGGTACCCAAATAAATTTCAGATGGGGTAGGATGGTATAATTCTGAGCTATCTAAAGAATTCCTAGCCTCACAGCTGGGGATGAGAAGAGGAGTGGGAGTGGGAGAGCGGCCTCAGGGCTGGGTAGGGTCCTAGCTCTTTTTAGACACTTGAGTAATTTAACCATAAATAACTGGGCACTGGGAACAGGACACTCACTAATAAAAGCATAGCCCGGAGTCATGTTGGGGGTTGGGGGGGGAATTCAAGTCACTTAGTGGGTGGATATATCTGCAAAACAAAAGAAAAGCCCCTTTCCCAGCCCAGGCGGAGAAGTCTCCTGTAAAGTTAGAGACAACAGGCTTCTGGGCACGTAGCCAAGGTTCTGGGGATATTTATAACTTGAAGAGGGTGGGAGTCCCTAATAAGCTGCTATATTCTTTTTCCATCACTTCCCTCTCCAAGGCTACAGCGAGCTCAGAGCTCTTCCCCACGCAGAATGCCTGCTTTCCCTAGTGCTCGGCTGCCATTGTCTAATTTTCTCATCCTGGCTGGGGAAAGGGAAGGCTGCAAGCCCTTCCGTTCGGAAGAACTCCAGTTGAATGCAGCTTAGCTGCTGCTGGTGTTTCTTGGCTAGCTGCTGTGGTCTCAGGGATCTGCCTATGAGTCCGTGGTTTCTCTGAGCTGCCTGAGAGTCTGTGAGTCTTTGGGATCCGCCTACGGATCTCGGGGCTCTGCAGCCAAGTCTACGGATTTGAAATCTACCTGCGGGGCTGAGATATCCGGGATCTGCCAGTGATCTCCAGAATCCTTCCAAACACCCGAAGTCTCAGAGAACTCTGCCTGCGGATTTGGAATCTGTTTGAGGCCTCTCAGATCTTGGAGCCGACGATCTAGTGGATCTTTTGCGGGTCAGGAGGTAAGCCTGTTCTTTCCCCAGCTGGGTTTTTCGGCTTCCCACCTTCAGCCGGTCAGGGACTGAAGGTCCGCCCGGCTCAGGGCTCAGAGGCCCAAGAACTCATCCGTGCAGGAAACCGTCAGAAATCCTTTTAGGAGACAATCCATCAGGGATGATAAGGACGACTCTTCTCAGCCCTGAGGCCGGACTCGCTCCTCCTTCGGCGCCCTATCCCCCACCGTCGCTTCTGTATACCCTCAGGGTTTTCGCATCCCCTCTACTGGGCGCAACTTAACCCGCCCCTCAAGGGGCGCCCTCTTTAGAAGGACAAGGTTGGATGCCCCTATAGGGTTAACAGCGGTGGAGCCGGGACACCGCCTGGCCAAACCGCGTACCGCACTAGCCAGCACACCCGCGGCGCAGGGTCTCCTGGGAGTTGTAGTCTGGGTAGCCGGTGAGAGTGCCGCAGGCCCTGCTGGGAGACGTAGTGCGTGGGCGGAGCTCAAAGTTACAGCGCGGCCGCTGAGTCTCCCCTGGGGAGTGGGCGGCTGCCGCTTTCCTCTCAGGCTGTCAAATGAGGGCCAATCCCAGAAGAACCCAACACAGGCCAGCGTCTAAATTAGGCCCGAAGTCGAAGTTAAGGCCCGACTCAAGATAAGCTTCTAAGGTCGTGAGGAGATGCAGGGCAACGTCTCTGGCTTAATCGGGCTGTGGTCTCCAAGTGAAGAAAGCGGAAGATACTACGCCCTGGCTAGGAGGACGTGCTTCTTTCTTCACCCTTTTGTTCTTTTCCCTCCTTGGTTTTTGGCCTCTGACTGGCCTTTGTACGCCAGAATGGAACTCCAACTCCCGGCAGGCCACGGGGGCAGGCGCAGGCGTGATAGGGTGCTCAGCCACGCTCAAGAGGCGGGCCTAATGTTCGCCATCTAATTGGCGGAGCGTTTTGCGAGCTTTGCTCGCTGATTGGTTGAGGTAGCTGCCGGAAAGGGCCCAGCCTCGAGATGGGAGAGCGGAGGCGTTCTGTGGGCTGGGCTGAGAGCCTCCTCCCCGAGACCGCATCGACTTGACCCCCCGGCCCGGGAGAGCCCGAGCCAGGGGGCTGTCTTAGTAAATTCCTGCAGTGCCTCCACCCTACGGTGGCGGAGACACAGAGGGCGGGTCGCGCTCGAGGGTCAGGGAGGAGAGTGACCCGGCCCGGGTCCAGGGCCCTCCCCACCCGTCTGGCGGCCAGAACTCCAGCCCTGGGGAGTGGGCAGGGCCTGTTTTCTGTGCCTCACGCCCTGCTTTTCGCCTCCTTTAGCGCTGTCTGCTAGCTGCTTTCCTGCTCTCTCTTCTGGGAGGCGAATCCTTGAGTCCGAGATGGCAGCCACCCTGCTCATGGCTGGGTCCCAGGTAAGCCGGGGGTGGCTTCTCGGACCCTGCCTCTGCTTATCCACCTTGTCCCGGCGTTTCTTTGCTCTGCAAATCCCTGTTGGCAATTCCCTGGGATTAGTAATTCACTCGCTTCGGTATTCTGCCTCCAGGAACCTCAGTACCAGGCCAGTATAGCCACAGACAAGCATTTATCGAACACCAGCTGTATGCCTTTAAATACTGGGGAGACAAAAGATGGATGAAACGGGCCCTCCCTGCTCACAGTCTTTAGGGAGACAGACGACGCATCCGGTTAACCGTAATAGGACGTGATAACAGCTTTATTTGTCGTAGGAACAAAGTGCCAAAGTGCCGTGGTGTGAGAACCAAGAAGTGGGAGTGATTAATGCTGGAGAGTCCGAGGGAGGAGTGGAGCGGAGCAGGGGTTGGGGGCACAGAAGAACAGTTTGTACTGGAACAGGGCCTTAAAGAATTGTAAGATCTCACTAGTCTGAGAAAGAGATTCCAGGAAAAGAGGAACATTGTGAGTAAAGGTATGGAATGATGTAGGCGATGCATGTGTTCTGAGAAAAGTACGGCTAGAGGATAAAGTTCTGGAGTGGCCAGGGACATCTGGCTATGGAAATAGCGGGGCAGTCAGCTGGTAAATGGCTTCCTTCTCTACCACATCTCTTTTTTTGCCTGCTCATTTCTTCTCTCCACTCTTCAGTTAATTCCTTTTGCGTTCTCAACGATTCTAGCCATGTCTCTAATTTCAAGAAGAGAAACTTGTACTAACCTCCAGACACCAAGTAATGAGGAAGCATTGTGTGATTTCAGGCACCTGTGACATTTGAAGATATGGCCATGTACCTCACTCGGGAAGAATGGAGACCTCTGGACCCTACACAACGAGACCTTTACAGGGATGTTATGCAGGAGAATTATGGAAACGTCGTCTCATTAGGTAAGTAAGGATTCTCTCTCTCTCCACCCCCACATTTTCAAGACTCTCAAAAATGGCTTAACTCTTCCAATGCAACCTAGTTGTTTGATTTTTAAAGCAATTAATTGGCTATTGGCTTGAGTTCCGTCCACAGGCAAATCTTTTGCGTGTAGGAACATCAGTCATATTGTTTAAAAAGAAAAACTGTTTCTGCCCATTTTAGAAACATTCAGATTTCTTATGCCCTGAGTCATCTACCCTTCTCCAGCCTGTTTGTACAGATCACTGACCAAACAGGTCTAACATAATGGTGCGTGCCAGGATGTAAATGCCCCTGTAAATGGTGATTTTACTACCAGATTGAGGGGAGTTCTGACCCAGGTTCATGGGAGGGCAAAAAGCCACAATTTTGTGTTAGTTTTGGCTTCAGAGCCCTAGCTTTGGCTGAGGTCCTTTATTTATCTGGAGCAGGTACTTGTCTAGAGGTGATTCAGAGTTGATCGTAGGTTTTGAGTGTGTCAAATGTTCAGGAGAATCATGAATAGAATGATCACAGATTCTATTAGGCAGGGAAGTGAATTTTTTTGATGGCCTGCAGACCTGTCTACTCTTGGCTATCCTTTGGTGTGGATGTAACTAGAATAAATAATATATTCTTGAGCTGAATGGTCTTTGACTCACTTAGTCTCTTGGTAACACTTGACAGAAGTTAGCAACTGTGTATGGTTCACTAGGTCATCTGCCATTCAGTAGGACTAATTCTTTTTTGGAAACCTTTATTTCTGTAGCCTTTCCCAGAACAAAAGGCAACTATGAGGGGTTTCGTTCTAAACTTGGGCTCTTCCTGATGTTCCAAGATTCTTGGATCTTTCCTTTAGAAAAGTAACTAGAAATGAAGTTAATTACCTAGATGTATTGCAGTCTCTAATCCAAATATTCCACTCAATCCAACAAAAGAATGAAGTGAGAATCTTAAAGAAATGTGAATTTATATGGCTATGGTCCAGCCCAAGTAGCACTTGTTAGAAGAATGGAAGCATGAAAGAACACACACACACACACACACACACACACACACACACACAAAACAAGTTCCTTTCCCAAATAAATATGGCACTGGGTTAATAATATTTACAAGGTTTCTTTACCTCAAGACTTGTCAGAGCCTTTAATGTGTTAAATGCCATGTGAATTTCTAAGAAGAGGCTATTGGATGCATCATGTACCAAATGAATTTATCCATGGACCCTTTTCTTCCAGCATACCTATTAACTTCTTTGTTGAAGAGTATGCTAAGAAACACAACTTGGAAAATACAGTGTCTGGTAGAAAGTTTCTTGTAGACAGTGGTTATATATTTTCATTTTCATTTGCAGACTGTATTTAGTTAATGTCAGGAATGTTCTGAGCTGTTTTTGCATCCTCCAACCTTCCCTCCTCTATTCATACTAGGAGGCCACTGGAAAGTAGCAAGTAACATTTGGCAGTCACCTCTCCTGTCAGTTAAAGACTTGCTATAGCCAGACAAAAATGTGTTTTTTCCATAGTAACCCAGTAGATTCTTAGTAACTATGACATGGTAATAATGAAGACTTGAAAAGTTAAGAACATAACACACAACACAATCACACATAAAATATCTAGGCCCGGGCGCCTGGGTGGCTCAGTGGGTTAAGCCGCTGCCTTCGGCTCAGGTCATGATCTCGGGGTCCTGGGATCAAGTCCCGCATCGGGCTCTCTGCTCAGCAGGGAGCCTGCTTCCCTCTCTCTCTCTCTCTCTCTGCCTGCCTCTCTGTCTACTTGTGATCTCTCTCTGTCAAATAAATAAATAAAATCTTTAAAAAAAAATATCTAGGCCCTTGGCTTTTAGAGATTCTAATATGGAGTCTCTTATATTTTCTGTTTCTGGCTCTTCTCTTTCAAAACACCAGGAACATATATATATAATTTTCTTAAAGAACCATTAACTCTAGTGGTACAGAGCATGAACCGTGATCAGACAGACCTGGGTTTCAATCATGGCTCCACCATTTACTACTTTATAAGCCTGCACAAGTCACTTCTCTTGGTCTTTATTTTATTTTATTTTTTTTAAGATTTAATTTATTTGTCAGAGAGAGCAAGTGCACAAGCAGGGGGAGCAGCAGGCAGAGGGAGAAGCAGGCTCTCTGCTGAGCAAGGAGACCTAAGTGGGACTCGATCCCAGGACCCTCGATCATGACCTGAGCTGAAGGCAGACACTTAACCAACTGAGCCACCCAAGTGTTGCCCTTCTCCAGGTCTTGGATTTAAATCATCATAGAGTGGAAATCATCATAATGCTGGACTTTCAGGGTGGTTGAAATAATGGGATAAAGAACTTAGCACAATGCCTGGTACACAGTAGATAAATTTTTTGTGTGTATTTGCCAGTATTATTATTATGACTATTTACCCTTTATTACAGATTTTGAGATCAGGAGTGAGAACGAGGTGAATCCAAAGCAAGAGATTAGTGAAGATGTAGAATTTGGGACTGCCTCTGAAAGACCTGTCGGGAATACTGAGGAAAATCCTGAAAATGAAGAGGCCTTTGAAAGCGGGGATAGACCAGAAAGACAGTGGGGAGATTTAACAGCAGAAGAATGGGTAAGCTATCCTCTTCAACAAGTCACTGATCTGCTTGTTCACAAGGAAGTCCACACAGGCATCCGATATCATATATGCTCTCATTGTGGAAAGGCCTTCAGTCAGATCTCAGACCTTAATCGACATCAGAAAACCCACACTGGAGACAGACCCTATAAGTGTTATGAATGTGGAAAGGGCTTCAGTCGAAGCTCACATCTTATTCAGCATCAAAGAACACACACTGGGGAAAGGCCCTATGACTGTAATGAGTGTGGGAAAAGTTTTGGAAGAAGCTCTCACCTCATTCAGCACCAGACAATCCACACTGGAGAAAAGCCCCACAAATGTAACGAGTGTGGGAAAAGTTTCTGCCGGCTGTCTCACCTAATCCAGCACCAAAGGACACACAGTGGGGAAAAGCCCTATGAGTGTGAGGAGTGTGGGAAAAGCTTCAGCCGGAGCTCTCACCTAGCTCAGCACCAGAGGACCCATACAGGTGAGAAGCCTTACGAGTGTAATGAATGTGGACGAGGCTTCAGTGAGAGATCTGATCTCATCAAACACTATCGAGTCCATACGGGGGAGAGGCCCTACAAGTGTGATGAGTGTGGGAAGAATTTCAGTCAGAACTCTGACCTAGTGCGCCATCGCAGAGCCCACACAGGAGAAAAGCCGTACCACTGTAATGAATGTGGGGAGAATTTCAGCCGTATCTCGCACTTGGTTCAACACCAGAGAACCCACACTGGGGAAAAGCCATACGAATGTAATGCTTGTGGGAAAAGCTTCAGCCGGAGCTCTCATCTCATCACACACCAGAAAATTCACACTGGAGAGAAGCCCTATGAGTGCAACGAGTGTTGGCGAAGCTTTGGTGAAAGGTCAGATCTAATTAAACACCAGAGAACCCACACTGGAGAGAAGCCCTATGAGTGTGTACAGTGTGGAAAAGGTTTTACTCAGAGCTCCAACCTCATCACACATCAAAGAGTTCATACGGGAGAGAAGCCGTATGAATGTACCGAATGTGAGAAGAGTTTCAGCCGGAGCTCAGCTCTAATTAAACATAAGAGAGTTCATACTGACTAAGTCCTATAATTAACAAGAAATGATTCATTTGAAAGTACAGTTTTATTTGATATCCAAGAGCTCTCTCAAGACTGAGCTTCTTTTACCATACTGAATTTCCATGTGGGCCACAGGTTAAAACATCAAAGAAGATAAGCCATTTGCAATTCTGACCCACAACTCTGGGAAATGTTATCTCTTCCTCCAAAGTAATGATTTTTATTCATTCGATATTAATGAAGTACTTCATCAAAATCAACCCCACAAATAACTGGGAATCAGAAGACCAGGGGATAAATGCTGGTAAATACTCGGGCCTGGAAATGGAGTAAAACTTTCAAAGTTATTTCTCTCATCCTTGGCCCAAAGAACTATGCTAGGGGAAATGTTGGACTGTAATAGGGTGGTCACAGCTGCTTTAGAAAAAGACAACCAGAGACTGCCCAAATTGCCACACCTATTCACTCTCTGTAGTAGTTGGGCACACACATCTTCCCCTTCAAAAGGCTTTTTCCTTGAGTTGCTCATGCATTTGTCTCTTTCCATCTTCCTGAGAGCAGGATTCTGCACGATGAAGGCAATGATCAAAACTTTTCTCACTGTTTCTAATTTAACTTTATTAAAGCTTGCATCTTTGGAGAAGCTAACTGAAGATACAGATTGAAAGGAAAAATGAGACACAGGTTTGGGGACCAAGGAACTCATCAGTGGTGGTGACTTTAGCAAAAGAGATGCCCACTGTTGTTCTCGCCATTAATCAGAATGTATTCATTTTCTTTGGGAATCACCGTAGGGAACATTGTAGGGAAAATATCTTCAAGGAAAGCTAGGACCATGCTGATGGTGGAGTGTAAGGAGCAAGTGGAATTGACCACTTCAGGGAAGGAAACACAGAATTCCTCCCCAAGGAATACCACCAGTCCTTTCTGTGTTCTTCCCCCTCTGCCCTTTAGATCAATTCTCCTTATACTGCTAACTCTAGAATTTGATAAGGGCCACATCCCAGTGTTCATCTTGGCTTGCATAAGGGCATGTGTAATGTACAGTAAAACATGTATTCTTGTAATTTTTCCAGTAGCGGAAACTGTATTCACACAGAATTAGCATGTTCTTGGGTGATGTTGATCATGACAGAGCTACAGACAACTTCAGTGTGAGAAATGTCCTTTTGTTTTCATTTTTTCTAAGGAAAAAACTTAAACACTAGTGCTCTAGTGTGCACTCTCCTGTAAGATCTGTCTTTGTACAGAACTAAGCACTTGTTTCTGTGTATCAGCCAATTGGGGGAGACAATGACCGGATAGAGAGATTGATTGTCCTGTTCTCAGACTGAATTATCTTCTCTTTGGCCTACTCAAAAGGAATTAATAAACCTAGATAGGAATGTATCTCCATCCTCTCAGTCTACAGAAACATGTAGTTAAAATGAGAGTTGACCCAATTTAAACCTGTTAGTGTCAGATCCTCTCATCCCAGCCCACCATAGGAATTAAGAAATACCCCAGATGTTGATGCTTACCCAGGCTTTTGGGGGTGGCAGTGTGAGGGGACTAGAGTAAGGAATATATATTTTTGAGAGTGCCCCCAAGTTCTTCCTACTGTGCTTTATCGTGAGTGTTGTAACATTTGAAAAATACTTCTGCCGTAGCTCTTTGGGACTTGGTGTGTTAAGGGAGCCAGTGGTCTCTCGGGGAGTCTACTAAAATGAGTCATTAGGACCCACAGCTGTGTGGGCCTGCTTCCTTTGCAGTGAGTGACACAGCCTTGAAAGTAACAACACCACTCCCTGAAGGAGGTTTCTTTATTATGTTGCCTCTCCTATTGAAATACAAACTGGGGCAGGGAGCATGTTTTGTGTTCTATACAAAAATCTAGCCGATGGTGGGTATTCATATTTTAATTGTTGAATGACTTACATGTTCTAGATGACTCAACTCGAGTGTGTCTTTTCCCGTGTCAGTGTTGCTAATGGTTTTAATGACTAGCAAAGTTCTCCTGTTGTTTCTGTGAGCCACAGTGGGCGTCAGCTTTGGAGTGGCCCCAGAAGACAGCATTCTCATGACCCAAGTATATATCACTCCCGTTTTCTTCCCCACTCTTCTGCCTCGCCCCAAGCTGTTCCTGCTGCTGTTTTTGGCTTCTTAGAGGTGAGTGGCTCACGAAGAGGCTTCTAAGTGCCCCAGCCTTCTCTCCATATGCCTACACTCCAGCTGGGAAGTTAAAAGGGCAAGGGCCAGACCTCCTGTTTCCTCTCTTTTTTCCCAACTGCTGCCCATTTGCCGTGTTGAACTTTGTGTAGAACTTATGCATCAGACTCTCCTTGCTAATGCTTTTTGCATGTCTTCTGCTCCCCAGTCTCTGGCTGCTTCTGCACATACCCTGAACACTTTGTGCCTGTTTTCTATGGTTGTGGAGAGTGAGTGAATAAGTAAGTGTGTAGAGCAGTTTTTCGTAGGGTATTGGTCGCAGTTATGCTAGTGTCTACATCTGTATTCTAACAATATTCTATAATTAAAAGTATAATTTTTAAAAATCAAAACACTGAGAGTTATTTTAGTCATCCACCACCGATTCCTAAGATGGCATTTCATCACATTCATTAAAATGGGCATGATCGTCTTTACATTAATGCATTTGTACAGATGTTCTCGTGGAAATGGAGTACGTTGTTTTCACACATGCCTGAGCCCTCTGGATATTGCCAAAATTTGGGAAGATGCAAAGATCTGGGTAGTTTCCTATAAAGATTGGGCTGGTAGCAAAAGAGCATGGAAATAATTTGGTTATGAGTGGCCCATGAGCTTTGGAGAGGGAAAAAAAACACATCCAAAAGCAGAAATGAGAGGAGGCCTTGTTGCTTTTAGGAGGTATTTTTGGGTACCTGTTGAGAACGCTGAAACAATTTCTACTGAACCAGTGTTGGGATCCCAGAACAGATAACCTCTCAGAAACAGTCAAAGGCTCTCTGTTCGGGACAGTTAGTTTGCCTAAGGCAGTGATTATGTATTACTAGGGTGTGGCTATGTTTTCAAATCACTTGCAAGCAATTTTCTTTGATGAATACCTTCTTTAAAGGGAGGCAGGCTAGGCAGAGGGAGGGAGTAGAAGTGCTTTAAATAGAGGAAAAACACAAATACGGAAGAAAAATTGTAACTATACCTATTGCCAACACTTGGAAAAGGAAAGACGGTTTATCAAAACCCTTTTTATAAAATTCTGTTTTTCCCTCTACGTGATCAACAGTTTTTATTTCTGGGAGGAAACGTAAAAGGAAAACGCGGGGGGCTCCTGGGTAGTTCAGTGGGTTAAAGCCTCTGCCTTCGGCTCGGGTCATGATTCCAGGGTCCTGGGATCGAGCCCCACATCGGGCTCTTTGCTCAGCGGGGAGCCTGCTTCCTCCTCTCTCTCTGCCTGCCTCTCTGCCTACTTGTAATCTCTGTCTGCCAAATAAATAAAATCTTTAAAAAAAAAAAAAAGGAAAACGTGGGCTCACCCGGAGCCTCTGCTCTAAAGGTATTTGATATGTTAATGCTTCGCCATTTTTGTAAAGGAGATTTCCTTCTGTGTGATCTGTTCTCTAAGAGGCTAGGTTAAGGCTTTGCTTCCAGGCCGCTAGGATACCGATGAACGCACTGAAATGATAATTTGTTAAGTGGTTCCCTACTGTTTCAAAAGTTGGTATTATTTGAAAAGGAGTTCCTATGCCCTGGGAGAAATGGACTCTTTGAAGCGTTGGTTAGATACCCATTTCTACAATAGTCTGGGCTACCGTTTCTCTGTTGGGGACTCCAAGATAAAAGGTCATTAGTGAAAACCACTGAGGAGTGAAACTAACAGAAGAAAATTACCTTGTTATGACCTAAAATTGTTTCATAGTTAATCCCATTTTAAAACCTGTTTTCCTAAATACTTCATGTTCAAAGTTTGTATCATTTTCAGCTTCTCCAAAGGTGGTTTTGTTTTTCCTTCTAGGGGAGATTGAGGCTGATAACCTCAAGATCTCACTCTGAGTTTCACAGTAGCCCTTGCGCCTAGCTGCCTTGTAGACCCCTCCATTTGGAAATTACCCAGGCACCTTAAAATCAACGCCCCAACAGACCTTAGCACTTTCTTCCACCACCTCCCAGCTGCCTCTCCTATAATTCGTTCCCTCCCTCTCTCCCTCCCTTTATCCCTCCCTCCCTCCTTTCCTTCCTCCTTTTTCCTTCCTTTAGATTTACTTATCCATTTGAGATAGAGAGGAGGGCGTGTGAGAGAGAGTGAGGAGAGGGGCAGAGAGAGGGAGAAAATCTTCTAGCCAACTCCCTGCTGAACGGGGAATGTGACATGAGGCTACATCCCATGATCCATGAGATCACAACCTGAGCCGAAACCAAGAGTAGAATGCTTAACCGACTGAACCACCCAGGCACCCCTCCTGTATTTCTTAACTCAGTCATTGCCAGGTTATCCAAGCTGGACACTTGCATATCATATTCAACAGCTCCTGCTCCTTTTGGCACCCTCCCCAAACCAATAAATATTAGCGGACTAGGCATTCAGTCATGACCAACCTTCCTTTCTCTACTTGCTCTCTCACGACTTACCATGTGACCTTGGGCAAATTAATTTATTTTCCTGCTCCTTGGATTTCTCATCTATAAAATGGGGGTAGTTATATCTGCCTCATAGAGTTGCAAAGATATAAGCAAGGTAATGGGCTCGGCTACAGTCATTCAGACCATCACCAGACCACATCTTGCTTACAGTGTTTCTTCTTTTAAAATTTCCTTAGTTAACATACAGCGCAATATTGGTTTCTGGAGTAAAATTCAGTGATTCATTACTTACATACACCTCCCAGTGCTCATCACAACAGATGCTCTCCTTAATATCCATCACCCGTTTAACCCACCCCCCACCCACCTCCCTCCATCAACCCTGTCTGTTTTCTATCCTTAAGAGTCTCCTATGGCTTGTTTCCCTCTCTCCTTTTTTTTTTCTTCTTCCCCTTCCCATATGTTCATCTGTTTTCTTAAATTCCACATATGAGTGAGATCATGAATCATACAGTATTTGTATTTCTCTGACTTATTTCACTTAGCATTAATACACTCTAGCTCCAGTGTCGTCGTTGCAAATACTTTTAAAGATTTTATTTTGGGGGAGGGCACCTGGGTGGCTCAGTCAGTTGGGCATCTCCCTTCAGCTCCGGTTGTGGTCCCCAGGCCCTGGGGTTGAGCCCCACGCTGGGCTCCCTGCTCAGTGGGGAGTCTGCTTCTCCCGTTCTTCCCCCAGCTTATGTTCTCTCTCTCTCGATCGCTCTGCTCTCTCTCTCTCTCGCAAATAAATAAATAATAAATAAATAAAATCTTTTTAAAGAAAGATTTTATTTTTAGAGTGAGCAAGCAGTGGGTGGGACGAGGGAGAGGGAGAATCCTGAAGCTGACTGCCTGCTGAGCACAGAGCCCAAAGTGGGCCCCATCCCAGGACCCTTAGATCGTGACTTGAGCTGAAATCGAGTTGGCACTTTACCAAATGAGGTGCCCCTAAAGATTTTACTTTTAAGTAATTTTTACACCCACCTTGGTACTCAAACTCACAACCCCAAGATCAGGAGTTGCAAGTTCCTCTGACTGAGCCAGCCAGGCACCCCACATCTTGCTTACTGAAACCACCTCCTAATGTGTTTTCATTTTTTAAAAAAGATTTTATTTTTGCAAGAGAGATAGAGAGAGAGCGAAAGAGAGAGCCCATGCACATACAAGTAGGGGGAGGGGCAGAGGAGAAGCAAACTCCCCGCTGAGCTGGGAACCCAGACACAGGACTCCGTCCCAGGACCCTGGGATCATGACCTGAGCCGAAGGCAGCTGCTCAACAGACTGAGCCACCCAGGCGCCCGAGCTAGATCTTTCTGAAGGGCAAATCCTTTCCTGCCACTGTTCTGTGCAAAACCTTCTTATGCCTCCCATTGCCAGCTGCATACAGTGAAACTCCTTCTGTGTTCATTTTTTAGAGACCATCTTTGCTCTGGCCTCTGCTGCCCTCCGCTGCCCTCAGTTTCAGTTCTCTGCACTACACTCTCCAAACTGTTCTGGAGAATAGTTCTCTCCACTATTCTGGCCAACTCCTCCTCTCCTTCAGGTCTCATACCTCACTTGTTCTAGGAACCCTTTCCCGATCCCACAAGACTGGATCAGATGTTCCTTGTCAGTGTTCCATGGGTTTATTCCAATCAAAGCACTTTACCCCTGTTTCATAATTGCCTGTTTACTTTTTCGTCTCCTCCATTAGACTGTTACCCTTGAAGTCATTGTGTCTTGCTCATCATTTAATCTTCAGCTGCTAGCAAATGTTTGACTTCAGGTACAGACTAGGCAGACATCAGATATCTGTTGGATAAATGAGAGGAGAATATGTGTAAACTTCCTTCCCCTCAGCAGGGCTGGTTGCTTCAGTTCTGATTTGTCATCACACAGGCTACTCATGAAAGAACTGTAGAAATTCTGTCATTGCATACCTGGTGAGGCCTTATGCAAGAGGACGAAGGCTCCCCCAGGTGATGTGCTCCATTTAAGACGTCTCCTCTCCCCTCCCCCAGATAAAGCTGGGGTCATGAAGACACCACCCCTGATGGTTCCTGTGTTTAATGAGACTTTGTCATCTTTGGAGGGTTAACTAGGAATAGACTCTTTATGGCAACTTTGGAGCTGTGTTACATGGCAGGCTGTCAATGCGGGAAGCGTGGGCAGGATTTTAAGATCCCTGCTCTAAGTTTGGTATTTGGTCAAACTCTGAATTCTCCAAGCAGATCACATAAACCAAAGGTGATTAATCTTTTACAGGGAGACTCCAGATTCCTTTGCGAATCTCATGAAAGTTTGGCAACATTTGCTTTTATGGAGTTTTGAGAATTCTTTATATGTTTTGGATACAAGGCCTCTATCAGACATAGGATTTGCAAAAATTTCTCCCTGTCTTTGGCTTGTCTTTTCATTCTCTTAATAGTGTCTTTCGAAGAACCAGTTTTAAATTTTGGTGTTCATTTTCTGATAGGATTTTGATCCAAGGTTTCCTTCTCTGGGTCTCCACATGGATAGCTCTTGAATCATAGCACTTAAATCTGGTTTTTAGCGAGGGCAGGAAGAAGCACACTTTCTGAACTTCATTCTTGTTTGGTTATATCCCCTCTAGTGGAGTTTGGGTTTTAGCCTAGGTAGTACTGCCATTCGACCAGGACAACAGGGCGAGCCTCCTGAGCCCGGCTCTTTAAAGGGCCTGATCTGGCTCTCCTCCAGTTGCACATTTCTTCATGGGGTTAAGGGGACATGCCCATCCAGAGCTCACACCCCTCTCCCCTTCTCTAGATCACAAACTTCAAGTATTTAGGACCTTGGAATTCTTTGCCCAAACAGCCCAATTCCAAGCTTCTTCCCCAGGTTGTTTTCTTGAGGGCAAGTCAACCTTTGTGTGTGTACCCCTAGGCCTAGGTTTATAGGATATACTTATACTAGGCTTATAGGATAGACTTATACCTGCAGGTTAGGTA